CTTTAAAGAGGTGCACCATTAAATGTACCAGGGGAATGTAATTCTACATAAACAGTTATCAGAGACCTTTTCATCTTCTGCTTTTTGAGTTGACAAGATAAGGAGAAAGGAAAGAAGGAAGAATAAAAAAAGGGGGGGGAGGTAGGAGTAAAAGAATGGGGGGGAAGAGAAGTATGAAAAAATAACAAGGAAGAGGGGGAGAGAGTGAGGAGGACTTTATTTAAGAGAAAAATGTCTTAAAACTTGAGAGAAAGGTGAGTCAGCATTCTCCAGAATTCTCAATTATTTTACTGTCATATTTTTCATGTGAGTACTGACTCAGCCCAAGAAATATATAACCACAACCATATTCTACTGCAGCATTGGAATCTGGGGACATTGGAACTTTGTTTTATGCATGTGTCTCTTTTTCAAGTGTGTTTTGTACAACAGAGGCGTATTATTGTCTGGATCATTATTATTTGGATATATTGTGTGTCAAATCACATTTTCAAAATATAATTGCCACCTGCAGTGATAAGTCTCTTAAAGGTGCACAAAAAGTAGGCAAAGCAATTCTTGGCAATACTTTAACATCATTACAAGTTGTTATTTTTCATTGACTTTTGCAATGGCCCTTAGCTTAATTCTTAAGACTTTTAATGTTATTTCATAGAAGCCACAAATTAAAACTCATAATTTTGGTTACGCATATTTAAATGATGCTCTAGTTGAGTAATCATGGTAACATTTGCTTTAATGTTCTCTGAGAACAATATAAAATAATCACGACGTGCAGACACAGCATGCTTGTCAGGTAAAGTTTATCTGCCCTTGGGACTTTACTAAGTGGTACCATGTTGCTTGGAGATACTTTTGAAGGTGGGTGAGTTGCTAAAGGGAATGGTTAGACTAACTGATGGTAGGAAGACCAGCACAAAACCTAGACTCGATCTTTAAGTATTTTTCTTCTAATTACGGAGGGAGAAATCAATCGGTCAATAGATGAAGAGACGGATGACTGATAGACAAAGGGGAAGAATGTGAAGGAGGTTGAAGCTGGAGGAGGGAGGTTTGCCCAACACAGCACTACCATTTATAATACTATCACAATCTTTGGTTGTGAAAAATAATTCCCTGAAGTCATAGCCTTCCTGACAGGTTATTATCATAAAAAGTTGCTTTATTTCATAAGGTGTAGGATTGGGCATGTAAACTAGTGAATAAACTATTCTCAATAAACTCTCTGCCCAGCCTGCCTGAATATCTTCTTTTCTCTTAGGAATATACAATGGACGTTTTCTTCCGCCAGACTTGGACCGATGAGAGGTTGAAGTTTGGGGGGCCAGCTGAGATTCTGAGTTTGAACAACTTGATGGTCAGTAAAATCTGGACACCTGACACTTTCTTCAGGAACGGCAAGAAGTCAATTGCTCACAATATGACAACCCCGAATAAGCTCTTCAGAATAATGCAGAATGGAACCATTCTGTACACCATGAGGTGAGGTTTCCCCAATTCTCCTTCCTCTGCCCACGTGCTTTGTCTGTTGTACTAACTCAGAACCGCCTATGTCAACGTCCCTTAGGCTCACCATCAATGCCGACTGTCCCATGAGGCTGGTTAACTTTCCTATGGACGGGCATGCTTGTCCACTCAAGTTTGGGAGCTGTAAGTTACAAAAAACTTCTGAGAGTCAAATAATGCATTCAAAGTATGTAATTATTTGGTTTTAGTCAGACGCTGGAAACTAAAAGAGAGATACTACTATGACATTTTCAGTATGATTCCAGGAATTACTTAATCATGCCTATCAATCTATAAATAGAGGTTTTCGTCACTCAGATTAAAGAAAAACATTAAAGAAAATGTATGTTTGTATGAACAAGATTTGGCTTTGAAAGGAAAAAAAAACCCACAGCCAGTCAGATTCACTAGTATGTTTAATTTGTTTCAAAAATTCAGATGCTTACCCTAAAAGTGAAATCATATATACATGGAAAAAAGGCCCACTGTACTCAGTGGAGGTCCCAGAAGAATCATCAAGCCTCCTGCAGTATGATCTGGTTGGACAGACAGTATCCAGTGAGACAATTAAATCTAACACAGGTAAGAATCTGAACAATGCATGGATGTAATCCTGCAAGGTGACTCCAGTGCACATTTCCAAAATATTTCCTTTCCCTCTGCACTAGCCATCCACAGCTAAGCTTGCTGTTTTGGAGCAATGACTAGCGTTCTTTAAAAGTGATTTTACAACCATGTGCATATGAAGATTTGTGAAGCCTTGGAGTGAATAGTTTTGCATGTCTATTGACACAAAGAGCCTCACAGAAAACCTGCTGATCTGGTAGCTTGGTCTTACATTGACAAATGCCTCTGCTTGCTTCCTTCCAGCGCATGTTAAAGATCTGTAGGATTTATTTCCAGCTGCAATCTTTTTTGCTCACTGTCAACCGCAGTAATACTAATATACCTCTCCTCTGACAGGTGAATATGTAATAATGACAGTTTATTTCCACTTGCAAAGGAAGATGGGTTACTTCATGATACAGATATATACTCCTTGCATCATGACGGTCATTCTTTCTCAAGTGTCTTTCTGGATTAACAAGGAGTCGGTCCCGGCCAGAACTGTCTTTGGTAGGCTTCACTCTTCGGGTTCCACTTCCAGTCACCCTCCAGTTCTCACTGCTTGTGTATTTGACGAGAATATTCACACCGGTGCACTTCTGCAATCCACAAAGGAAATAAACTCCTATCTCATTCAGACACATGGATCATGTAAAATGACCCTCATCTTATTGCAAGTTGTGTGGTGAATCGACAAAAAATTGGTCTCAGCAAGAATTCTGGCTGGTTTCCTGTGATTTTCATGTGCCCTATTTAGGAGAGTGTTTTTTGTTTTTTTTTTAATATCAGTTTGCTTTTTCATAACTAAAAAAAAAAGCTGAAAAATAAAAACTGACATCCATGGAAATAAAGGCTAAGATATTGAATCCACTAATATATAATTTATATCTGACTTTTATTAGGTTGAATCACTAAAAATGTGCCATTTTTATAGGTCTAAAATTAGTTAAATATCACCAGTTTCCCATTGTTCAACCCAAATATTTAGCTCCTTTTGTGATGTACAGAATCCCTACTAGTGTGGTGGAACAAGATGAAGGAAGAAAAAGAGCCCAACAGAAAATATCTGTCACAAAATAATTTTTGCTGAGTTTTCATGATTATAAATTTAGTAGTTCATAGGGACGACCTGAGTTTAATTGAAGTCTAAGATGAATTTTGACTTTTTAATTTACCATATTCAAATAGATCTCTTTCTGCAAATTGTAAAATAATATTTATGTGATGAGGGTGACCAGCTCTGAATTACATAAATCCTTCAAGAAAGAAAACTGCTGGCAGATGAGTGGTCAGATTATTTTCTCATGAGTAAATATTTTATCTTAAAACCAAGCTAGAAATTAAAAAAAGAGAGAGAAACCTAATTTTATATTTATTATTCATACCCAATAATCTTATTAAATATGATGAAAGATTTTACCAGCTATTAAATTTGATCAGAAGTTCAAAGTTGTATTACTTATGTAATAATAATTTGCTCTAAGTTTTCTCAAGAGGTAAACAACTAGAATTATTCAAGACAAATTTTGTAATAGTTAAACTATATCAGTTCAAAAAAATTTTGGAGCAACTACAATGTACACATTACCACCCTAAGTAGTAAAGGATACAAAAATGTGAATACCTATGATAATAATTGCAAACAATTAAAAAACAATATAATAATAATAATAATGACACGTAATCCTCTCCACCAACACGTTCCCGTTGGATCCCGTTACTGGATTCCAAATGCTAATCCTGCCTTTCTCATCCTTTTCCGTTTCAGGGATCACCACTGTTTTAACCATGACCACTTTGAGCATCAGTGCCCGGCACTCCTTGCCAAAGGTGTCTTACGCCACCGCCATGGATTGGTTCATAGCTGTTTGCTTTGCCTTCGTCTTCTCTGCCCTTATTGAGTTCGCAGCTGTCAACTACTTTACCAATCTTCAGACACAGAAGGTGGAAAGGAAGGCACAGATTGCGGCCTCACCTCCAGCGACAATAGCAAAAGCTCCCGAACCCTTGGAAGCCGAGGTCATCTTGGTAATTGTTTATTTTTCTAATGCTACCCTCCCCCTCCCCCACGTGGGAAAAGGCAGCCCGACTAGTCACCGCGAACCACGAGGGAGCCCAGAGGTGCTGTTAGTGGGGCTTACGTTGCGTAACTTTGGTTCTCAGACCAACTTCTCCAACTTTACAGAAAAACGCCAGGCAACAATCCTCCCTTTATCTTGGCTCTAAACTTTCCGTACCCCTCTTTCATCATTCTCACTAGCGCTGGCAGATTCCAGGCGCTCAGAGATGAGAAAATTCTCAGCCTTTAGATGTTTCCTTTGAACAGGTTCACATACACCGACTAGGGAGAATAAGGTTAAAAAAAAAAGTTCCTAATGAGGCTTCAGAGTCTGAAGGAAACAAACAGGGACTCCTACGGACAATTTTTGTTAGAAATCTGCTTGCTGCTTTATTGCAGGAGCGCAAGATGTGAATATTAGGTTCCATAAATGCTGAGTCATATGCCGAGTTTTTGACTCACATGAAAACATTCTCATGTTTGCATTCATATTATACGTATATAATATGTATCTTAGTGTTTTCATTCAAAGACTTACAATCAGTGAGAAATACCTATAATTTAGATTTAGATTTAGATTGGCTGTGCCTAAGCTCTGGTCCCCAAAGGTTTTTTGAATAAAAAATAATTGATAGCGTTAATAATTCCAAGGGTCATAAATGTGTCCTCAAATTTCAATTTCACATATGAATAAATTCTCAAAATTAAATTGCACATACTTTTTTTTAAAAAAATGATGTATAGAACTGATTGACAAGTATGCATTTTAATTTCAATATAAACGTCAAACAGCTCTTGCAAAGAGGAAAATTGTGCTCTGCAATCTCAAGTAATGCAGACACTTTGAACTGAAAATTTCTTTATAATTGATCAGTTCTTATGAACATTTCCGAATTGCAAAACCACATGCAGCCCAGTTAATTCTTGGTTAAATTTTGTGGTAAAAACGATAAAGCTATGTATGTTTCATTTTCCAGGTACTCAGACATTTACTGATTTTAAAAGATAACTTTTTTGAAACTTCTCTCTTTGATAAACTAAGAAATTTGTTTGAAATTCACATTTTCTCTAAAGGATAAGGTCATTCCCAGGATAAGTGGCAACATACAATTGAAAATAATTTAAAGGGTTTTTTCCCCTTTAATTAGCACTCATTAAAAAAAAAAAGTTTGCCATCCAATGATCCAGTCTAATTACCTCCACTTACAAGTAAAACAACACCAGAGTCTCAGAGAAGAAAAATATTAGTCACTAGTTGGTAGAAAAACTAGGAATTGATTCCAGAACTCCTAATGTCCACAACTTTACAGAGAATGAAGCCCTCCCCACTCTCAACACTTTCATAAAGACTGACATATAAAAGAGTGCATACCACTGGATAAATCCTCTGGATGTAGGTAAGGTCATTCCCAAAGGTCTTCTCTTGATTTAATGCTATTTTCTTTATAATACTTATGCATGTTTTGAAAGGTCACAAAAACATAAATTTTATAACAAAAATATGTTCGTCTGAAGGCTCAATTCCAAATGCTTGAAAATGATATTTTTCAGAAAAGATTAATTCCAAAAATTTTTGAGAATTATTTTGTTTGTAAAAATAAGTGACTAAATTACTACCTATCTGTATTTATAAAGATACATCATTGATATATTGTCCCAAGGTCATATATTGTCTTAACATATATCTGGAATGAAAATTGTTACTTATTAGAATTAGGTTTAACAGCTTCTTATTTGAGAAATACAGTAAAAACACAAAAAGAAGTTCATGAGGAACAGGGTGAGAAAAACAACTCCACTGATTCTGAATATAGTCATTGATCTGATATTGAGACAAAAAGAAAGGCCAACTTTCTTACTTTGACTCTTTTGAAATATATATGACTGGGAAGAATATGATTTCAAATCCCTAGAGAAAGTATAGAGTTATCATTCCCTTAGACTATTATTTTAAAGGTGTAATTTTTTAATAAGATGGAATTTAAGATCTCAGGTCTTCATAAACTATCTTCTGCAGTTCTAAAATAGGAACCTATAAGGACTAGGTCCTTTGGGAAGCTAGGTTTTAAAAATGCATTTAAATCATCTCAAAGTCCTTTTTTTCTTGCAAGTTGACTTTTTTCCCTATCAAAACTTGTATTTCTAAACCTGGCTTTGCTTAAAATATTTTAAGGCAGTGAAAAGAAGTTTTATTTCTGAAAGGCTAAGTCAAAGTGTAAAAATAAAAATAAAAACAAAAATAACCAAACCTAACAATATAAACCTTGTAGGTACCAAAACAGAAATACAGCTGATTACAAAGAGCGTGTACATTTTATTTAAGTCAAAAGTTGGCAATTGCCTTATATAATGTAGAGGAACAAATATAAATTACACACTTGGAATTTATACAGCACAATGGTGTATTATGATTGCGAGGTCAGTTTTTTCTTTCAAATACCATGACATTTAAAAACGCCTATTCAGTTGTAATCAAAATAGCATCATTTGAATAAGTTGGACATTGAAACAGCAAACCAATAGGGTGACGTTGAGATGAAAAACTGTGATTCTAAGTTGTGTACTTACTGTGCACATTGCTTTTCACAGGAAACATTTAGGATGAACGTGAAAACTTGATCACTTTGAATTTGACCTTGAAATTTAATATTAACAGTGACAAAGAAATTCAGTACTAGTACTCAAACCTGAAGAGACACCTGAAACTGAAGTTTCAGAAGGTGCTCTATCAACTAATTATCTTTCTGTTTTTAAAGCATTTGGAAATGAAGACTTTTTATTTTTAGATTTTTGAGGAAAAAAAAATTGTCCACAATTCTTGCTTATATGGTATTTTTTCATACTGTTTTTATCTGGTATGCTATTTTGGCATTACAGTTATTCTAGTATTTCAGTTTCAGAACTCACTATGTGTTTGGGTATTCTTATTTTGTATATAAGGCCAAGTTGACACCTTGATCTCTTTGGGGATGGTTTGCTAGTGTCCTTGTTATGTTAAAGGTCTAAGTCGTCATCACTATGTTTCTAAGAATGAATCCCTTGTCCCTCTACCCATCAACACATCCAGTGTGGCTTCTTTTTTCCACGGGAGGTGTGATGGTCTTGGTAAATTATCTACCAACAAAATTGATCCAAGTTTAATTAGCTGAGACAATGACTGCTTTCACACAGATTACACTATTTATTTTTCTTCTCACCTGACACCAATTTACTAAGAACCTACGTCCTTACCAAATTATTCACAGCATAAGCAGTTGTTAAGTGCTTGTATGTGCCAGTCCCTTTATAGAATGCCGAGGATACACGGGTAAGGGGCATCAGTAGCGCCTCTTCCATCGTGGACCTTCTTGTCCATCAGGAAGAAAGGAAATTCAAGAAGCCGTGACAACACGTTGTAATAAAGGCTGTGCTTAGAGATGTATTGTAGGCCGAAGAAGCGTCCTGCTGGGGTGCCTAACTCAGTCTGGAGGGGTGATTTGGGAGGAAGTGATGCCTATGCTGAGAACAGAAAGATAAGCCTGGCCCTGCCCTAGAAGCACTAAGTCAGTCACTTCCGTCACAGAGACGGAAATAAGACATACGGTCCTTTCTGGACTCTTTTCAAGGTCGGAATCTCTGCTGGGCCATTACCATGCCACCCTCCACCTACGCAGAGAAGTACGAAGCATACAATACTGAACGATTTCCCTTCCCAGTTCCAAATCTTGCTAAGATTGTTTTGAGCACTATCATTATGCCATAGAATGAATGGTTAAATTAAGACCATCACAGACTCTGAGCACCAGAAAGGTCATGACGCCCCTTCCCCATGGGAGCACCGCTCTGTGACTTACAAAGAAGGTGGGGTGAAGTAGATGAGGGGTGCAGGCAGCTAGCTCATTTTCTATAACTTCCCTCAAATCCTCATCCAGGACTCCTTTCTGCACCCTCCAAATATTCCAGTATGGTTTTCAGACACGCCCCTAGCGCCACTCACCCACCAGACTGCTACCAGTAAGCTGCTTCTCACAGACATTCTGGAATTATCTCTACTCCTAATTCTACCAGCTATAAAATAAATGTAAGGACATTTGATGGAGTTCATTTTCTCCATAATGCTTAATACAATAGTCTTAAAAATGTCAAATACTAAATGATTTAAAAAGTATTTTCTCTTATTTTTGGTGCCCCGTTCACTGGTTCTAAACGAAGACACTTTGTCCCTTGAGTAATGCATCCCTGGTCAGAATCTCTCTCCTACCAGGTAACGCATTGCCTCCCCTTCTTTAATTTATTAGATTCACTGAATGTTGTATCAAAATTGCTCTAACTGCTTCCCAAATGCCTTACCCCTATACCAAATACTTGATTGTCATAAAGTCCAGTTTGACTCAAAGTACCTTTGCAATATGGTGTTACTTAAAACAAAGCAGTGCTCTAAAAATACCCAAAGCAGGATGGCACTGAGCAGCAGGGGAGCCCTGGAAAAATTCAAAACCACAGGTGCTCCACTCAAAACGGTGACGGCCCCAAGCTGAGCCCTCATCTGGACTCTGACAAAAGCCGATTTTACCATCAGCTGAAGCTGCTGAGCTACAATAGGGCAGGCGGGATCTGATGCAAACCTGAAGCTTGAATGGCTTGCACAATTGGCTTTCTTTTGATTTCAGAAATTCAGTGTGATTCTTCTAAATTGGTGGCCAGTCTCCTGGACTGCCAACCCCCCCATTATCCAGGAGTTCATCATCCAGTGGGTGGGTCAGCCAGCCCTCTTGCATTTTCTTGAGCACAGTGTATTTGCTGCCTGCTAGAAACCACCCCCAGAAGTTGCCACGGGGCAATGAGACAGTGTAACTCTAAGCCTGTGATTCTCCATGGTGGGTGAATTCCCCCCGCCCTGAGGACATTTGCTAAAGATATTTTTGGTTGTCAAAACTCCAAGGAGGAGGGTGCTACAGGCGCCTTTTGGGTAGAGGACAGGGCAGCTACTCAACATCCCATGAGGGACAGGGCAGTCCCCCACAACGAAAAGTATCCATCTGTCTGCAGTTTTGTGGTTGGGAAACCACGCCCTAAACCCTAAGTCTGACGGGGAGAAAATATTTATTAAGAGTATGGTCTTGGGGGGAGGGTAGAGCTCAAATGGTAAGAGCACATGCTTAGCATGTACAAGATCCTGGGTTCAATCCCCAGTGCCTCCTCTAAAAATAAAGAAATAAATAAACCTAGTTACCACCTCCCCCCAAAAAAACCCTAAATAAAGAATCAAAAAACGAGTATGATTTTAGGCATGTTAGAGGGTTGAATTCAGGAGCCGCCCCTTCTCACTTGTGTGAGTGTTCTGCTTAAGCCTCCGTTCGCTCATCTCTAAAATGAAAAGAGTATTATCACATTCTAGATTCTTTCTGGGAATAAGCAAAATAATGCGTGCAAAGTGACCTGCAGGGCTGGCCGTGGTTAAGCACTGAGACATGGTAACCTCCAACACAATGGAATATAAAACATTGTGCTAACATATAACGTACAATAATCATAAAACTTTTTGTTCCCTTCTCTTTGCCTGACTAAGAAATCTTGGGAAATGTTTAGATGTTCATTCACTTGTTGACTCAGCAAATGTTTGTCTATTAAGCATCGCCGGCGTTCTGTGCACTGGCTAGGCACTGTGGGGCATTTACACGTGAGAATAACACGCCCTGTGCCATGAAGGAGGTTTTATGTCCGGAAAGGGGATAAAGCACGACAGAAATAATAGTTACAGGCCAGAGCGTGATGACAGCGAGGAGTTCTCACAGCTAAGGAGGCAGAAAAGTGCACAGAGAAAAGACGTATTTTCTTTCTCAAGCTCCTAAAGAAAAGAAAATAAACCTCAGAGATGAAATGTTCACTGTCCCTAACTTTAAAGATGGTAACTTGACGCCAAGGGAACGCCTACGGCATGTCTAAGGCGTAGGGCGGGTGAGTAGTGTGTGTGCACGATCGCAGTCTAAGGCTTCCTTCCTCTGCTGCCCTCTTAACCCTTAAGCAACTCTCCATAGAGACTGGGGAAATCGGTGAGGAAAAGAGGAGTCCGACTGTAAGGGACCTTTCATTCCAAGCCAATGCCATTGTGCATAAATTTTCCAGGCTGTTTGGTCTTGAACGATGCTGCTTAATTCCGGACAAGGGTTATTTTGGCCATCCTCATTAAGTCATTCGTGACACGGTGGCCAGAGATTGACAACTTCCCCTCACATCTCCAAAAGGGAGGGGGAGATAGAACAATGCCTTACATTTTTATGCTCGATTATATTTCACAATCACTTTTTCAGCTCAATGAACTTACTCATGTCTGCCCTCTTTCTCCCTAAAAAAGAGAAACAGAGGTGTCAGACAGGCAAGGCATGCTATTAAAAATCAAGACGGGTTTAGGAAGCAAATTCGCTCTAAAGGCTTGCCTTCTTTCTGCTCTGTTATGATCCTTAGAAGATTTGCTAGAGTAAAATACCTGAATGTTCCAGGTGTCTGGGAGGAGGGGAACTCTTTTTGAAGAATTAAACAGTGACACGTTTTGCTCTTTCAGGTAGAGAATATTTTAATAATACATATAATAGATAAATATTCAAATCAGAGTCTGAGAAACATGATGGAAAGCTCTTGGCAGACAATTACCATGTTTATTTCTAAGAGAGGCAGCATGCACTGAGACCAAAACACGCCGACTCTGGTCCTATCCGCACACTCTCTGGTGACCCTGGGCACAGCAGTCCTCAGTTGTCACCTGCTATTTTAACAGAAAATGTCACTTCTGTCCTATCCAAGATCAGTAGACTGGGCACTCTACTATCTTAAATTCTTTTCTACCTCTAAGACCTATGATTTATTTAATTCTGTTTCGAGTGCCTAGCCCAACCCTGGGTCAACAAATAACAAATCAACATACTCCTGGCTGGAAATTGGCCGCGGTCATGTCAAACCAGACTTTACACAGTCTGTAAAGAAACAGATTTTACCGTGGCCCCTAAAAAGCACACTGGGCTTGAACTCTCTCTAATGAGCATTATTATTTAGATCCCCAGCAACGTCCATGACAAATCAAAAGCAAAATTCAGGAGGGGAGTCCAGAGAGAAGAGGTTCTTGGGGTTGCTGTTCCCCGCAGTCCAAATGTCACGGCACCGGCGGGTCCCCCTGCTCCCGCGGCTCAGCCAGCCCAGGGAGGGTGGCCACCGCCTCCTGTTGCCGGGCGGTCGCTGTCTAAAGCCACGGGAGCCTGCCCACGTGAGTCACACACCCTGCCGGGCAGCAAAGTGGTGGTTGTGCTGCCAGGGAGGAAACAAGGCAGTTTTACAAGAGCAGGGCTAATGTACAGCCAGTGTTTGAAGGCAGAGATCCAGCAAGGACAAGCTGGCCACAAGGAGAGTGGTTATTAGAGGGGAGAGACAAGGAAGGAATAAGAATCAGAGGAAGCCACCCCCCCCAACCCTGGTCTCCAACATGATGAAAGGAGTCCAAAGCCAACAGGAGTAGAGTCTCTGAAGCAGGCTCAGTACCTTAAAGACGAGAAAATGCTGGGATACGACGAGCACTGAGACTGACCAGAGTGTTTATTGCTCGATGTGCAACCCTGGTGAAACCTTTCTTACATCGGGACCCTGGCCTTCTCATGTGTCCATTCATGCAGTCAGCATCCCTTTCAAGACTAGAATTGGTTGTCTTATGATTTCCGTGGAACAGAAAGATCTAATGATGGAAAAGAACATATAACAATTCTGAGGTTAGGAAATGAATCATGTTTTGGTGACTTCAGAAGGAGGGAGACCAACAGAGAATCTCTGAATGGAGAGCAGAAATCTCTCAATAGGGAATTCTTGAACCAAGAGGCAGTTGCATATCAAGGGATGAACGATCATCCCCCTCAATATAAGGGTATTTTTCTTTTGTCACTGGCTTTTGACGTCCATGAGCACCTTTCTTTTCTTTCTTTTTTTTTTTTTGGTCTGCTGTTGGCACTTCAGTCGGTTCAAATGCATGAATGTGTCAAGATTAGGCTCGGAATGTGCCAGGCGGAATGACATCATTTAACCAAGCTGCTTTTTTTCTTGCGCTTAGACTAACTGTCCACATATTCCAAACTGAAATCCCCTCTCATTGTCTATACCCATTGCCCTATAGGTTTACAGAGCATAACTGGGGAGTGGATAAGCCCTTGTAACCTGGTTGATGTCTTCTTCAGTATCACCTGGTACAGATGTTCAACACGGTTTCTGGGACATGGGACATACTTGGCATCAGCCCTGTTGTACTGAATGACAGGATGTGGTAATGGAAGCAAATCAATTAAAAATTTTGTTTTACCACTTTCTTAGGAATGTAGCACCATCAAATACTATGAAGAATTTGCTGATATTTTAACTTACATAGGAAGGAGTCCATAAGCGTCTGTCGATGATGAAAAAATGAGTGACTAAGTAAGTGATGCCTGTTCTTTTACGTAGGCTGAATGTGTTTTTTTCTCCACAGCATCCTGATTCCAAGTATCATTTGAAGAAAAGAATCACCTCTCTGACCCTGCCAATAGTTCCATCTTCCGAGGCCAGCAAAGTCCTCACGAGAGCGCCCATCTTACAGTCCACACCTGTCACACCCCCACCCCTCTCTCCAGCCTTTGGAGGTACCAGTAAAATAGACCAGTACTCTCGGATTCTCTTCCCTGTTGCGTTTGCAGGATTCAACCTTGTGTACTGGATAGTGTATCTTTCCAGAGACCCGATGGAAGTGAGCAGCAGTGTTGAGTAGCTTGCAACCACGGTAACCTGTATCCTCTCGGTTCTCGTTTTCTGAATTTTTCAAAGTAGCATCGAGACGTGTACAGATGCTTTTCTGAACATGAAACCAAAATTGAAAATCTCTAACTCACAGCTTTGAGTAAGCTTGGATGGGCAAAAAAGTCATAATGTTATCCCTCAAGATTGGAAGTTGAAGGTTGCCGAAAAAATAGGACTTTTTCTGGATGTTCGAGAAAATTTTATAAAAGGGTAAAACGGGTTCAGGAAGAATGGGCCCATCTCTGTCCTTCCTTGGTCAACATTTCAATTGTTACTGTGAATAGCATTTACCACAGGGCAGATAAAATAAGGAATGCTACTCTTCCAAAGGTTGCCTTAAAATATGTTTATTTTGGCTTAGTTCTCATGAGAACAAGATATAAATAGTCTAAATATTTATCAGTAGGTTAATACCAGCATGTCGGAGGCCTTTATGCTAGTAAAACGGCTTTCAGTGGCGTTGTAAAGCCCGTATTGAGCTCAGCTGTTCATCTTTAACCCCACTGTGCTATTATACCTCAACGAAGCACGGTGTTTGCATACGTGTGAATTACACAGGGATCATAAATCATGTATGCATTTGTACATAGCGCTGGTTGGACTGCCGTACGGTGTTGTTTTATCTCATTAAGCTCTCCTTTTAAAATAATACACTCATCCTAATTCCTTGAGGTTGTAGAAGCCTTGTATATATTATGACTGTGAATGTGACTATGAATATAAATGTGTGTTTCATATTCTCCACCTTTCTAAGTAGATCAATAAATAAAACATCAATAAACATGGTTCTCGGGTCTGTTTTGTAAAGCTGTGAAGAGTTGCCTGAGGTGCGGGGAAATGGAGTGGTGTCCTGTACCCCGATGTCAGTGGCCCTGGGGATGCTGAGAGGTAGTAGGTACGGGACAGCCAGGTTTGGTCACCTAGTTCTACAGAAAGACTTGCGTTTGTATGAGAACAGTCAGCTTCTCGCCTCCTTCCTGCTCGCTCAGCATGCTTTCGGTTACAAGATGAATGAGATCGGAGGATCTAATGTATAACTTGGTGCCTAGAGTTGATACCACTGGACTGTATAGTTGAAATTTGCTAAGAGAGTAGAAATTAAATGTTTTCACCAAAAAAAAAGGTAAACATGTGAGATGATGGATATGTTAACTAACTCAATGAAGGAAGTCATTCACATGGTATACTTATTTTAAATCATCCCATTGTATACTTTTTGTACCTTGCAATTTGATTTATCAACTGTACCTCAATCAAGCTGAAAAAAAAACGAATGCGACTATTTTTCTCCCCTTCTACTATTCCAGCTCTTCCCGATACTAACTCTACCCATGTTTCTCCCACACAGGAAGGTGTTAACGGAACCGGGAACTAGGAGCAGGAGAAAGCATGTGGTGGAATTTATGGAGATCGATAAAGCCCTCATTAGCTGTAGCTGGGTCATAAATATCATTGCGGTCACCCAGAGCTCTGAACCCAGGAGGAAATATTCTAGAATTACTACCCTTGCCTTTATCCAGGAAAATACAAAAAATTCTGTGGCCAAACAAATTAGAGTTTAATTGCAGTAGCCCTCTACTAAGGGTGGGAGGCTGACAACTCCATCCAAATGCCCTGTTTATTTGCTCCATGACCAAATCTCTTAGTCTCTGGGAGACATAATTCCTGTCTCATCTGTAGGATCAGGGGAGTGGAATAGACACCCTCCTTCCATTTCGAACAGCTTGTGTTTGTTTCATTACTGTTCTGTCTAAATTAAGTCATTAGACGAGGCTTGCTCTTGTTTGTGAGAGAACATTAGATGCTAGGTGGGTGTTAACCATACTACATCCGACTTGACATTTAATCCTCTTCACAAACCTGTAAAGTCTATACTCCTATTATCTCCGTTTAAAGATGGGGAACAAGGCACAGTGAAGATGAATCACTGTGTTCAAATTCAAGTGGCGCTCAAGGGCTCCAGCTGAGAGTCAGACCCAGGAGGCGTGAATCCACAGCGCGCTCGCTTAACCGCAACCGTGCGATGGGGTCTATTCTGTGACCCCCTCCAGAACTCTCTCACCATGTCTTTCATTCCCTGGAATGGTTTTCCTGGTGTTCTGACATCCTTCCTGCCCCACCTCAGCATTTATTCTCCATTTCACAACAAAGGACATATCTCTTAGTCAAGATTTCTGCTTAGAGATGAAAGAGATGAGTGAAACCCATTAAACGCATTACATGTTGTAGGCATCAGATTTCTCCTCGATGAAGGAATCTTGAGAAAAATTACAAAATTTTTGAACTGCTGAAGATTCTAAGGAATACTATTTCTCGGTTTGTGCCAATGGGACGGTAATAGAGATCAACTGAAAATAAAACAGGTTCCCTAGCTAACGAATTTGAGGGGAGATGTTGACTCAGAGTGAAACAGGTCTCTCTTCTGCTGGACTTCTCAGAGCCTTTATCATGCTCTGTGCACTACGATTCTCTCATAGTTTGTTGTAGTGTTTCACATTTCCCAAATCCACGTGACCATAAATCTCACTTTTTTGCAAGGAGAAATTTTGGGGACTAGCATTCCTCAGAAAATAGTCTGGGAAAGACCACCTTGGTATTATTTATCGAATCCCTTTTGTAACCACTCACCCACCCCTTCCCCCATTAAAAAAACAAAGGATTACATCTCTGAATGGGGACATGCCTTACCCTAGTTCCTACGGCTACTGGAGACCAAATTAGGACTGTATAAAAGAGAAGCCAGACAAGGTCTTTCAATAGAGAGACTTTAAGACAGATGGACTGTTACGTGAACAACACAGAGAGAGCACCCTCAGGAGGAAGACACAAAATGGAAGACGACAGGGTGAACAGAACCCAATCCTGGGGCAAGGGGCATTTTAGAGCCAGACTCAATCCTCTGAAGAGAGGACACCACCTGGACGGGGACAGTAGTTCAGCGGCTCAGAGAAGAGACCCCCCAGAGCTGGGAATCACAGCTCCAAGGACAGGACGCCACCTGGCTGGTCTGAGCGTCACAGGTCATCAGAGGGGGGACTCCTCCGAGCCGGGTCTCAGGCCTCTGCGGTCTGCCCGCGTGCTGCCAGCGCCTCGGGAGCCTGCTGGAGGACACACGCGCGTGCGGGCTCGGCCTGGGAAGGAGGGCAGTGCTGCTTGGCTGCAGCTGCCGTCTTTGGGAGAGCACAGCGAAGGCGGTCTGGGAGCACCAAGAAACGGGAGACTGGAGTCAACTGTTGTCTCAAGGCGAAGGGTAACAGTAAGAGGCAAAGCGAGTCTACAACAGGGACAATACACATTTCCCCTTTCACCTGATGAGGCTGCTCAGAACCCAAGAGACTTCAGTTCCTGGATGAACCAGGCAAAGAGCAGAGAAAAACATTTCCTTTCCACCCACAGGTGTTGTTCACCTAATTGCTGTTAAGTCATAACTAACTTGAGAGGGAGGGCTTCCCTGTATCTGGAAAACACAGATCAAAACCAGGAAGATTCCAGGCAAAACCCATGAACATTATAATCATATTCACCAGTTCACTCAGTAACCAGTCCTTTTGTTAAATTCTTATGATGCCATCAGGTTTTTTGTTAGCATTCTTTACTTTCGTACTCAGTTCAGGGGTAAGACCTGAAATTTATCAGAGACCCGTACTTGTCAAAAGGCCCCTCTTATGAAACTTCTTCTAAATGAAGCACTTTTGCAAAAGCATGAGAGTACAACAATTGTCCATAAATGACAAAAGACTCAAAAAACGCACAGTTAAACACCTGATCACAATGTAACTGATCAAGGGACTTCCTTACAACTAGAATTATGACTTAGTACAATCTCAACCCTTAACAACCTTAAAGCTCTGGCAGAAAACCAAGACGCAAGTTACTATGAACTGCTTGTCATCCCAGCACTTCCTGATTGGGAAACTTACGCTTTAGTCTTCCTCTCCTAAGAGGGCAAAGGACGGTAAACTTAGACCCACACAACAATATTCCAGCATTCAATATGCTATTTGAAATGACTCAGACAGTCGATGAATCCTCTTCATTTAACTTAGTTTAGTTGCAAGTTACCAAAATCTGGAGATACAATTACAGACAGACATGCCCAAACCATATTTATTCTTACAGAGTTTTAAAAGGCCTCCCCCCCCCCCGGATCAGATGATCAAAGTTCCTGAGAGCCCGGGTAGACTATTTGCATTCAGAAGCACAAGAAGAGAAATATCAGTTCCTTCTAGGAAACTAGCCTACTCTAACTGCATGTATGTGCAAAAACCAGTGTTTAGAAAGTCAAAGATTCCCATCTCGGCCATTTTCAGAGATTTTTTTTTTTTCAGTTTAAATAAATAACAGTACTAGACAATAATATGAGTCATTCACTCACATTCAGATGCCTCACTTCCAGAGCAACAAGAAGCAACTCACCTGGGCTGTCAGCTCAGCATCCGCTCTTTCCTAACATGAGAAGCACCGGCCGGCCCACAGCTGCGGCCACTTCGTGTTCCCCACCGTCACGGCGGCCAACATCTCCCCACAGCCTCAGAGGCATCTGTGGGTCCCCCCTCCTCTCCTGGTCGCCCCCATTCATCAAGGACAGACACCACAGGCCCCCCCACACTAGTGGACAGCCACGCTGGGATTACACTCACAACTCTCCGGCCCCAAGTTAGTGGACAGCCCCATGATGTTCCCTCCGCGTCCCTACTTCCTGACATCACAGCTCACGGGGGTCCCGGGGCCTCCTGGCTGCTCCGCCAGTTGCTGGGCTGCATCCTGCAGGTGTGCACGGCCTGTGCCTGCCCAGCTTCAAGACCAAAGAAAGAGCCGGGAGTCGTCAACAGAGACATCCATGGTTTACTGGAGGGGGGAGCTTACCTGTATGAAGCAACATCCTGGAGCCACACGCCACCCTGCGCGGCCTCAGCGGGCAGGGCTTGGAGGCAGCCCTCACTCCCGGGGAAGGGGTGGTTACCAGTCACAGGGGGAACTGATTTCCCGTGGG